GAGCATTCAAGTATACTGAAAAGTATGAGCAGAAGTTTACTTTGTTTCACTTTGTCGTTTGGACTGTGAGAATGGTACAGTCAATGCACAAATATACAAATTATAAACAGAAGATAAAGAGGTGGGGAATGCCAGAAAGGCAAAAAGGCGATCACCAAGAGACGATCAGTCAGGAAAAGCCACGGAAGTGTAAAGGTTTACTTTAGCAGAGGGAATTAAATTTTTGCAATATATTAATTGTCATTGATAATTTAACCCTCGACAATGCCAGTCTTACGCACCGATGTTAATCAAACGAAAAGTTCGCTGTCAGTCCCTAGAATCCACACCGTCGAAACGAAAAGTCTACTGTCAGTCCCTAGGGACTGACGCCGCCTGAACGGAAAGTTCACTGTCAGTCCCTAGGGACCCCGCAGGGGCTAGGGTCGACCTTGGTGGGCCGTAGTATGGGATTGGCGACTCCACGGTGCCTAGCTGACGTGCACCTATGTCGAGGTGGGCTAGCAGCCTCAGAACGGTAGTGGTTCGCCACGAACGGGACGACCGATACGCCCGTGATCACCGGTACCACGGGAGACCGATTTAGCCCTGGGCCGGCTGTCTTATGGCAGTCCGCCCGTCGGTCGCTGGGTTGGCCTCGTGGTGGCAGTGGTTGAAGCCTACATCGCAGGCAAGGGCTCTCGAAGCCCGGCGTGAGAGTTGCGCATCGTACAGCTCGGGTGCTGTCCTCCTGAGGCAGTAGGGATTTAGAAAGGTCCCGTCCCAACACCAAGGGAGTCGACTGGGGCTAGCATCCCAGTTAGACAAAATGGCAGGACCGATTGTGTTCATGGCACTTTCGGTTCGCGCTGGTTAGGCGTATCCCAACCCCTCCATAGGGGGGTGTGTGGGTGTTTTATCCTCATCGTCCTCGCGGAGGTTGGATAACTGGATAAGCTACAGCTTCTAATAGTTTACTATCCAAACTCATGTCAGTCCCTAGGGACTGACGTAGCACTGAACGTGTTAAGAAAAGAAAAATGTCCTTTGAATAAAAGTCTTGCATACCTTACTACATACTATTAGTGGGTACAAATTATAGATGACGAAAGAAAATTAACTAGAAGACATCTCATACACATGTATGTGGGATTGGAATAAGTACGGCCCTGAAAGAATGCCAAGTGTGTTTGGGCTTAGGATGGAAGTGACCGCGTGCAAGCGAATTAACTGCAAGGAATGTTTATGGTAAGGTCGAATGAAAGTTTAGGGATGTGTCCAGAGTGATTGAAGTACCTGGTCCACCGAGGTTGCGTGGGAAAGGGGCATGATCGGAAAGGAAAGCCTGGATATGGAAAAGGGAGAATGAATGCTTTAAATAAGGGTGCAAGGGCGCAGGCAGCTCCAGTCTCCACAGTCGTTGGTCATGAACAGTCTGCAGTCGTTAGTCTCCACGGTCTACGGTCTAGAATCGACAGTCTTCTAACAGTCTTTAAGAGTCTTAAGCTAGTGTCTAAGAGTGCGTCAGTAAGAAGTCAAAGTCGAACGTGCCCATAGCGAATCCCTCTTGTTTCATAGCCGTCAATCTACGTATAAGCTTTGTTAAGTCTTGGAATGTCGTGCCGGTATTTTGTTCAGCCCTTGATTAGAATAGACCCAGAAGACCGTTAGTGTCTTCTGGCAGCCAGATTCTAATTGCTGTTTTAGTTCAAGTTCCGTATCCTTTCTATCTTCATTTTCAATGCATTTTCAAACAATTCTTTATTTTCCTCGGGTCACCGGACACGAGGCTTTCTTTAGCCATTAATGTTAGAAAGCAGGCAACAGCACTTAGGATTTGGCTGACAATAGGCCTGCAAAGAAAGGGACCAGGCCATGTGCGATGTCGCGACTTTCGGAGCCATAAAGTAACGGGTCCTTCAGGAAGGATCACGAATGTGCGGGTGGTCCACCAGCAACCCCCTTTGAGGGAGAGGCTTCCTCCACCGGCAGA